CATTTGCTTTTTACTCTGAACACTTCGTCATTTATCAATCACTTAATTGATCATACTTTTATCGATAACTTGTTCCAACAATGCATAATAACTTACTTCTAGTTAATTGATAATGTGTTCTGTCTAAGTATTATGTCAAGACCTTTAATCGATCAATTGATCGATCAATCCTTTATCGATCAGATGATCGATCATCAAAATCTTCATTGCATATATCTGTTATGAGCTATTTTCATATCACCTATTCGATCATTCATTTATCGATAAAATGATTAATCATTTTGACCTTTGCATCTTCTTCCATATCACATGATCAATCAAAGTCTTTCCTTGATTTTTTTCTGAAAATAATTTTCAACAAACATTTATCGATCACTTAATCGATCAATCATTAATCGATCATTTAATCGATCATCATCCATTTTGTGACTTCACTGTGAAAATTTGTTCACAACCTTTTTTCAATCATTTTTCCTATCATATATTTATCGATAAAGTATTCAATCAACGTACTGTGAAAATATATTTCTCTCATACTTAGCTTTATTGATAACATGATCGATCAAACAGTTTTCGATCAGTTGTTTGATCATTGAACTAATTCATTTAATAACAACTAGTCACGATGATCTTCAAAATCTTCTATCTCTTTGTCTTCAAGCTTTTCTTAGCCTTTCTTTTTAGACTTAAATCTCTATTGAAAGGACTCGAAGGCAAACATAACTTAAAAATTTTATTCTTGCATAATCTATTTAGAGCTCACTGTATTCATGTCTTGTCATTATCGATCATATGTTCAATCATTTGTTTATCCATGATGTATTCGATAAACCTACATATCTGCCTCAGTCTTATTCCTGGTATTTAATTGATAACTTGATTGGCCAACTGTTTATCGATCAAGAGATCGATCAAGTAAGTTCATATTACATTTGAAGTATTAATGATTGATTCTCTGCTTTCCAATCTATTGTATCAATGTCAATAATCATCACTTATTCTGTTATCTTCACAAATTTCCTTCAAAAAGAAGAATTACTTGTTTCAAAGGTTTTTACATACTACGAAGCTCAACGCTTATTTAGTAATCTGTAACCTATCATGTCAGAAGCATTAATGGCGAACAACTGTTGTAACTACTAAACACATGTAAATGATCTTCCAATGGCTGTAAGCTCTTCAGTCTAACAGATAATCAAATATCTCCAACTATTGAAGGGCATTGAATGAAGTATTGAATACGCGAGCTACCGTCTGTTAAAAAATTTACTGTTGCATTCAATACTCTGTTTTACCGAGCTTCAATGTTTAACATTCATATACACTGCAAGAGAGCTGTATACACTTTATCTTACTCATTCTCTGAGAGTAACTCAATAGTGTGGACTCTTGAGAGAATTGTAGCCTTACGGGTAGTAAAAAGGAGTGATTGAAAAAATCAATTACTATACTGAAGCACCAAGAGTCTGTTTAATCTTGGAAACATAGTATAAATCTTAGAGGTGTTCTAAGGACTGTGTTCTAAGGACTGGACGTAGGTCAAGTGGTTGAGACCGAACTAGCATAAACTCCACGTCTTCGCTATTGGGTGAAATCTTCCTAACTTAATCTCCTCTGTTTTATTTGCTTCACTATTTTATTATGTCAAATTTTTATACTTCACCCAATTCACTCCCTTAGGTGAAACTGACGCTAATAATAATAGATAGTTGTAAAGATCACACAGATCCAGAAGCTTGACTGTGAATAAATAACTTTTTATTTTCTTCTCTTTTATAAATTATAATAGTAAAATCATTCATCAAAAGTCAAGGGAAATTATTACAAAGAGGTATTTTTGAAAATATTTTTTAAAAAATATTGTAAAATTCTGAATTATGTATCATAAAAAGGTATATAAACTCAAAAAAATTGTATATTATATTTAGAAATGGCTGGAGTATATTTTATTTTTGCAATTTTTTTTCAATTAACACTCTTTTTTGGTAGGCACATGTATACTCATCTTGAAGGCAATTCTGTTCGAATCACTATTAGACACTAAATATGAGTACTTTTTCTGGCCGAGATTCAAACCTTAGTTCATCACATTGAGGAGGACTAACCCCTTCCGCAAGACTCAACTTCCATTGATTCCAGTGAACACCTTTGTAATGTTTGATATGCTATCTATGAATGTTTGATACTGCTCTGTGATGCATGGCCCTAGGAAAAACAAAAGCCTTACTCTTTGAAGACAATGCTTTGAAGAGGTGTGATGGTATAACATTTCTACTTTGAGAACTTCTAAAATTTTAATGTGGAGATTTAGTGTGTGAAAGTGTTCAAAGAAGAGCCGTTTTGCTCAAGATTAAGAAGGTAGTGTATACTAAAATGTAAATTTTAGCTACTAAAACGCTAAGGAGGAGGTTTTGAAATTGACAATCGAAGTTTTGGGTTTCAATTAATCAATTTTATTCCAATGTTTAGAAATTGTCCTTTTAATAGTAGTCATTAAATCATCTAAAATCACCATTATGTTGCCCAATGGTTTTATCTCTGCTGTCTACCTGTAAAAGATAATGCATGTTGCATGATTAGGTGGCATACTACTTCATTCCTTATTATAAGATGCCTTCATTTTATATTTTTCTTTCTTTCACACAAAATACAATACAAAGTCCTTTTTATAGAAAACCTGTCATAAATAAATGGCTGTGACTATATATAGTTTGAGGATTTGGTGTGCAAAATCAAGACAACGAGAGGTGGATTATTCAACAGGAGCAAAAAATCAGAAGGGAAGACAAAGTCCTACGTGCAGAACAAGTGATATCAGAGCTCGATTTTACCAAATGTAAGGATAGCATCGTAGGTGGGTCATGTGTAAGAGGGGTTTCAGGGGAAGAGAGGAAGAGGGTTAGCATTGGACAAGAGATATTGATAAACCCCAACCTCCTGCTTTGGGATTAGCCTACATCTGGACTTGACTCAACCACTGCTCAGAGGATTGTGTCCACCTTGTCAAAACTGGCTCAGAACATGCCTTGTACTGTGGTTATGACCATACATCAACCTTCAAGCAGGTTGTATTGTATGTTCTGTAAGGTTCTTTTGTTATCAGAAGGCCATCCTTGTTCTTGGAAAGGGATATGATATTATAGACTACTTCTCAAAGTCTTGGATATACCCCAACTGTAGCCATGAATCCATCTGATTTTCTCTTGGATCTGGCAAACGGTATGTTTTCTCATTCACTAGTCACTTGTAGTTCTAATTGAGAACGAAATTGAGCTTGCATGAAGCTTTCGAGAGTTTCGCAGGTATTTACACTAACGAAACTGATGAAGATCATGCCTCCCTTGAGCAGACCCTGATGTCAGCATACAAGCTCAACCTTTAAGCACAAGTGAAGGAAATGGTTCATCGGATTAATGATGACAATATCAAGAATGAAGAAGCTAGTTTTCAGGACAGAGAGTTTGAGAAATGATCTACAACTTGGTTTCAACAATTCAGTGTGCTGCTTAAAAGAGGAGTAAAGGAGAGAGAACATGATTCATTCGCAGGCCTTAAGATTGCTGAGGTTGCTATGCTCGCCCTTATTTCAGGACTACTCTGGTATAAATCCGACACTTCGCATCTGCTGGATCAGGTATTAAAGAAGCTTCAAGAATTAAACACAAAGTAACCTTTTAAAACACCACATCAAATATATTGGTGTGTTAGTTTAAGCCATGACTAATATGGCTTCCAGTAACTATAAAATCTAGTTGTTCTTATCTGATGTTCCTGCAGATTGGACTCCTATTCTTCATAGCAGGCTTCTGGGGATTCTACCCAATGTACAGAGGCATCTTTACATTCCCACAAGAGAAGGCCATGCTTGAGAAAGAAAGATCCTCTGGAACGTACAGGCTTTCCTCATATTTCATGTCAATGATTGTAGCGGATCTACCCATGGAACTTGTCCTTCCCACTATTTTTCTCACCATAGCTTATTGGATGGCAGGCCTCAAAACTAACGCATTGAACTTCTTCTGCACATTGTGCAGCCTGTTACTAGATTCCTTGGCCTCACAAGGCCTCAGCTTTGCCCTCGGTGCAGTTTTGATGGATCAAGACTCAGCAACTTCACTTGGATTTGTGATCATGATAGGTTACATGCTAGCTGGCGGGTATTATGTTCGATATGTCCCAAAGTTCATTGATTGGATCAAATACCTATCCATCAGCTACTATACATACCAGTTGCTCAAGTACCCTTGTTCTCAAGGACTGTTTTCAGTCGCAGAGTTTCCTCCATAGGAGGAAATAGGGCTGGATTTGAAAGGCCACCTGGTGGCTGCTTTGGCTCTAGTGATAATGCTCGTAGGTTATAGGCTCATAGCTTATTTTTCGCTAATGAGGATTGGAGTGGCAAAGAGATTGGTGTAGTACAAACAGACTCTTACCATCTGATATGCTCTTCTCTGCTATTTATAACTACAGGCTTGGAGTATCACTAGTTGGTGATGATCCCTGTAACTTGTTCTGGTTCTGAAAGCAAGCAGTACTATTGGGTTATAAATTAGCGTCACGTCTTCATTGTGAACAAACCTGACTTCTAATTCTTGGTTGCTCATGTTCCCTCTAATTGAATGGCAACTAAATATATAGATCATGATTGTCACAATTCTGGTTCTCTATTGGACCACTGCTGTTCAAAACACTAACATACCAGAGTTCCTGAACATTTGTTGCAACAGTAGAAGCAATAGTGCTAATATAACAAACATAACAACACTGCCAAACCACACAAGACTTGTACCAAAATCATCAATCCGGGTATTCTTTATCAGCATGTCAATGTACCAAAATCATCAATCCGGGTATTCTTTATCAGCATGTCAATGCACCTATTCTTCCAAACCTCGACATGAACTGATCGCATCCCAAGGGCAAAGAAAGAGCAAGTGCTCACATTATCACATACTCGACTTCCCACAGTAAATTGCAATATTTCTAAAGAGTGAATAAAATGAATTTAAAAAGTAACCCTTATATACGCCTTTGAAAGATTAATAATATAAGGCCATTGTTATAATAATAACAATATTGTAACATCTTTCCCCTCTATCCCTCTACTTTTCTTCCCTGTTTCTGGTACCAAATATGTCCTAACAGAACTCATTTTCCAAATACATTCCATCTTATTTAGATTTATCATCGATCATCATGTCATTGTACATAGCATACGAAACAGTATAAACAGAAGTACGAGTGCGTAACCACTGCAGCAACTCCAGTCAAAGAGAGCATCACCGATTGTTTGATTTCCGAGCCAGCTCCCGTGCCATCTCCCTGAGCTCCTCAGGTGACGGAGGCCTAGGTGCCTCCGGCGGATATTCGATATAAGACCGCTGTAACATCAAAAGAAGCAACCGTAAACAAAACTATCGAAAGAACCCCAGCCATCCTCAATAGGAATTCAAAGCCATCAATGAGAATCTTCTACACCATGCAAAGTGACAATACTCATGTCCATGTTCCTCAAAAAAAGCAAGCAGGCCAAGATATTCATTAACAGGCATAAATGTCAAATTCTCAATCAGACTCATATTTCACATATTGATTAGGTCAGTTCAGAAAAAGCTTTGTCTAAGATATCTCAAGTAAACTGAGCGTACAGAAGAGTCTCTAGTGGAAAGAAAGTAAGTATCAGCTAGTCAAGCCTCTACTGTTTGAATATGAATAAAATGCCCAATGGAACATTTTGATCTATTTTTGAGGTCAAGTCCACAGAACATCCCAGAGATACAATTATGTTCTTAAAAGTTTGCCCCATCCAAGAGGGTCTTGATTACGATGAGAATTAAGAGAATCAGTTTGAATTCAAAGCAGACCACATTACCGCCCGCCCGGGGGGATCAGTTTTAATAATTACTATATAAGAGGATCAGCTGAATGAGGGGCTTTGTGCTATAAACGGCGAGGAAAAGTACTTAATCTTTCAAAAAAAAAAATGCCTATGAAGAGAAACATAAACAGTGAAAATTCATAAGCTACATATAAAATTGACATTTTTTTTCAAAGGACTGATAGAAGAAAATTACATTGCCCATGAATCTCTGGAGGTTCTTCGAATTATTGGCAAAAGCGTACATAAGAACGATGGGAACCGACACGTAGATACCAAACTTAGCAATCTCCAGGATTCCCTTTGATGTGCCAAGTGAAGACATCTTAAATTCTTTGAAAAATCGGAAAATCCAATTCCGTCAGAAATCACCAGTGAAGAAGAAAAAGGGCGTAAGACTCAAACCTAAAACCCTCCGCAATCTGCAAATCGATTGACCGACAAAACCAGAGAGAGAGGATCACGGAGCTGAGGCCACCAGAGACACGAAGCAGAGCACGGGGGTGCCACGTCTGCGAAACAAATTGGGCCAGGCCATGTTAACATGGCCCAAAACTGTCTTGGGGATGATATTTAATTGGGTCGCAGTCGAGGGCACATATATGTAAATTAGATTAGCGTGTGCTTGTATGCCTTTAGTTTAACGGGTAAAAAACTAAAGGCATGCAAAACGCAATTTGGAATTCACCCGCAAACAGACGCTAATCTAATTTAAAAATTAATGCTTGAAACCAAGGGGAAAAAAGATAATACTCCTCCGATCCTTAATATAAGACCCATTTAACTAATTTGATTAAATTAAGGAAGTTAGGTAAGTTAGTTAATTATAAGAAAATTGACACATTTTTCCTAAAACACCATAATCATCTTTCTTAATACCCCCTCTCTCTCTTTTACTTAATTATGATTGAGGGAGTATCTATAGGGGTAATTTAGAGAAAATTGATAAATATGAGAAATGGGTCTTATATTTAGGACCAAAACCAACTCAAGAATTGGGTCCTATATTAAGAACTGGAGGAGTACTACCTTAAATTAACTATAAATTACTTCTCATGAGTAGGTCCTACTAAAGTAATACTCCCTCCTATCCTATTTATAAACTTTAAATTTAAAAAAAAAGCATAGCTCATTTTATAAATTTCAATTTGGGTTTGTTTCAATATTTAATACTCCTCCGGTACTTAATATAGGACTCAATTCTTGAGTTGATTTTGATCCTAAATATAAGACTCATTTCTCATATTTATCAATTTTTTCTAAATTAACCCTATAGATACTCCCTGAATTATAATCAAGTAGAAGAGGGAGAGGGGATATTAAGAAAGATGATTATGGTATTTTAGGAAAAATATGTCACTTTCCTTATAATTAACTAACTTACCTAACTTCCTTAATAATTAGCTAAATGGGTCTTATATTAAGGACCGAATGAGTATTTTTTTTAATATTTTTTAATTATTTCTCTCTTGTCACATTTTCTCACACGTTTTTTTTTATCATTTTTCTCATTTATTATAAGAATATGTTTAGAAATAAAAATATATTTTTTTACCTACTTATTATTTTTAATTAATTTTAACTAATTATTTTGTTATTTATGAATTAATTAATTATTTGAAACTTATTTAAGGAATGGAAGGAGTCCCTCCTTGCAAGCACCAGGCGTCACCGAGCTCAGCTAGAAGTCCGACCGGTCAAATTATCCTGTCTGACGCTTGACTCCTAAACCATGCTTTCTTGACTCAAATGAGCCTGTTGTCCCCGCATGGCTCAGGCCTAGAAGCCCAGGCTAGCCCTTTTTTTTGGGCCGATATGAATGTTTTTGACTACTTTCCTTTTTTTCACTGATAATAAGCTGGAAAAGCTGTCCTGCTAAAAAAAAAAAATTCATAATATTTAAAAAGAATGAAACAAAGGGTAAACTAATCCATATAAGAGTCGTATGAAAAAAAAAATGTACATATGAGAGTTGTTGGAGTTGAAGAGCTTCCCTTTCTTACACTAACCGCACATAGAGGGCAACCTCCAAATCCAATAGATGATATTATATATTTTCATTATATATAAATATATAAGGAACAGAAACAATAATAAAGATTTCCACCTTGTTGAGGCAAAACATTTTGGACCTACGGAAAATGGAATAAGAGAAATTTGGAAGCAAAAAAAAGGAAAAAAAAAGAGCAAGAAGGGAAACCGGTTTACTTCTAGACATCCTTTCACAAGCCATATAATACTCTCTCAATCCCTCTAATCATAAATATAAGAATTAAGCAATTAACTTACAAGTATTAAGGTAATTAGTTAAACTAATCATTTTTTTTTACCGGGGACTAATCATTTGTGATAAAATATATGTATGTTGATTTTCTTTAAATATTCTCTTAATCATTTTCATTTAAGCTATCCTCACTAATTAAACCCTCTTTAGTATATGTCATAAATAGGATTGTCCGGGAAAATAATTATGTTTATTGAATAAACTGAACTGAACTTATATTTAGATTAAAATAAATCCCTCAACTAACTATCATGCTTAAGGCTGGAGGAAGTAGTTCGCAAGCCTTCAAAAATCCCTTTTTAAATTTTAATACAAGATAAACTTATTTATTAGCCAAGAACTTTCCTGTATCAACACTACTTTTTTTGGGCTATGAATTTTAAAGGACCTCAATTTGAATGGGTAATAGTGAAACGGATGGTCCAAGCGCAAGATATAAAACCCATCTTGCTTGTTTGGGCTTGTTGAGCACACTTAAGGTTTGGAAAATTAAGGTTTTTAGGAAATTCGTGGGTAACTTGCTTCCTTGATATGTTGAAATTAATTTTTCAGATAAGGACTGTCTTTGGTGTTGTTGGCAAAAAAAAAAAAAAGGTTTTTAGTGTTAAGTACATTACACCATTATTTAATCTTCAAATGATTTTATTATAAAGGATATCTTTGGATTAAAAATGGACATAAATCACCTACTCCCCACACAATTTTACTTCTTATAATTTTTCTCATGCCAAGAGCGACCCCTAGTTATTTGATTAATTTTAAATGTATTTTTCCCCACAATTTTAATTACGTTGAATGTTAAATTTATATAGTTGATTTTTTAATAAAAAATTAAAAATAAATATTTTCCTATTAATCCTCAAAAAAAACACACACACACACACACATTTTCCTTACTGTAGTATTCTCCCTATGTTGATCTAATTAATAATACTATTTTTATGCATACTGTCAAAGTGACCTGTGCGTTTGTGTGTGCGGTGTGATAGATTTTAATTTATTTTGCAGAGAATATATAAACGGTTCAGTTGAAGATAAAATCAAGCAATCATTGTGCAATTTTTTTAGTGGCTCTATCTCAAACGAAAGGCCATTTGTTCCAGAAATCTCAAATTGAAGAAGCTTGCCCCTAAAAGTTTGAACGGCGCAACGAAAAAAAAAAAAAAATCAAGAGCTCATATTGAATTTAATCCAAAATAGCTTAATAAAATAAATGTCTAGTTATGATTCCTTTTAATAAATAAAATAAGAAAACATCCTTAATTAAACAACATAAATTATTTCACATATTCATATCATAAATATATAAGCATGCCCAATAGATATAACTCTTCTTAGATATTTACTTTGTATCACGTAAAATCACTTTTCTTACCACTAATCCAAACAGATATACTCAAGCTAGTTTATACATGATGAAAAGAAAGACATTTAAGTATCATCTTCCAAGGTTTAATCCATTGAAATTTTTTTCATTTTAGGAGATGAAAAAGCTTATACGAGTTATGTTCTAATGTCTAATCAGAATTAGGAAAACTTTTGAAGTTTAAGAACAAAATTGTAGAGTCTAACTCAATTTTTGCATACAAAGAGTATATACAACCAATAACTCGATTCTTTCAAAACAAGATCAAGGATTTAAATTTTGTGAATGAAAAAAAATCAATTTTAAAAGAATTATCAATAATACAGACACATATATACTATGTGCTCATTTTGGTTAGTGAAAGTCAGTGTGACTTCCCATTATAAACCCCCTTTAATTACTTGGCTTTTAATGAATGGAACTTCCACTATAGACTGATGGCGTTTCTTGCCCAATTGAAGAAACCTAATAATTATTACAATAATAATGAATCTAATACTCTATTCCTAATGGTGATTGCCATCAAATAAACCCATTTTATTGGTCCAACTCAACAAAGAATGTAATCAATCACGGCAAAATGTCACATTCCCATACCTCACATCACATCATAGCCCCCATTATATGATAACTTTCTATTATTTATATCATTTTTTTTTGCATCAGCACCTTTCTTAATTTAATGAAGATATTTTCCCAGCCTCATATGAGCCATGATGTGATCCCTTAAATTAATCAACGTCCAATCACAATGGACATTTTACCTTGTTGGGACATTATTAGTTAATTAGTTAATTAGCAAGTTGTTTTTTCATATAATTATTATAATTAATCAAATGTCTTGTTGGACTGTTGTGTAAGAGATGTAATCATGCATGACACAAGAAGCTGAACCATGCCCTGATTAAAGTGGGTGACACAGTTTTTATATAGTAGTATTTGGGTACCACGTCAATTCAAGTATGGCTTACAAAGTGTGTATATTTAAATTTGCAACAATAAAATAATTTACTCGAGGTAATTCCTTTTAAGCTCTTGATCATAGATATTTGTATTATGTATATTTTCTCACAAAAGAATACTACCTCCCGTTCTTAATATAAGATCTTGTTTGACTTTTATTTTGATCCTAAATATAAGATCCCAATTCACTTTGTCTCTAATATTTATACATTTTTTTTCTAAAGTAGTCCTTCTAACAATGGTAGTTTTAACCAATACACTTGATTAACAATGATATTTTAGGAAAGATAACACCTATTTAGGACAAATAACTAACTCAACTTACTTTCTTAATCTCCTCAAATTAGTCAACTAGCTCTTATAATTAGGATCGGAGGTAATATAATATTAGTTTGATTAAAAAATATCTCAGTTTTGCAGGAAGAAAAATATTTTAATTTAATTTTTCTAGTTTTGATTGAATAAGCGATGTTGTTTTGTAGGGAGGGAAAAAGTTAAAGCGTATTGTTGTCCTTGAATTATTCCGCAAGGAGCATTGGTTATCGTAAATTATTTGGGTACCAGGTCAACTCAATTATTTGATCATAGATATTTCTATTATTTATATTTTCTCACAAAAGAATATAATATTCGTTCGATTAAATATATCTCAGCTTTGTAGTGATATAAATTTTTTTATTTAATTTTCTATTTTTGATTGAGTAGATGATGTTGTTTTCAGGGGGGAAAAGTTCAAGGGTATTCTTGTCCTTAGAATCATTTTACGAGAAGCACCGGTTATTGTACATTGCTCATTACGATCTTATAAATATATTGCTGCTCCTTAACTCTA